CCAACACATCATACAACAGCCACGGACCAATGGGATTGCAGCGTTGTCGGCACAAAGTGGCCGTGAGCCAATGAGATCACAGCGAACATGTGGAGGCCTGTGGACTGCCTGGACGTGCCCAACTGTAAAGGGCCCAGGCCCGTAACTGCAACTAGGTCTGGACGCAGACACTGAGGCCCAACTGGAAGCTACTGGATGCTCGCCCAGCCAGGCCCAGAGGCAACAGAGGCTGAGCTCACTTTCCATATAGGAAAGTGAGCACCGCTGGGCAGGTCATTCTGGCCTAGGCAGGCAATGCGGCCACGCTGCTGCGCTGCAACTTCGTGATCTGCACGAAGCTGCCGGCTGGGTCGTGCGCACGGGCGCTGAGGTGTGAGGTGCACTGCTGGGCAGTGGGCGCACGGCAGCCATAGCCGGGCTGCTGGGCTCAGGTCTGGATGGCGATGGTGGTCTTTGGGTGTTGAGAATGCACACTGTGGGTAGTCAGGGGTGATGAGGAGAGACAAGATACATACCTGATGCATGAGGAAGGTCAGCTATGGTGTTGACGTAATGTACATTGGTCTTCGTGGTCGAAGTGAGCCTGTTGCGTGAACGCTGGTGTTGTAGGATAGGCGAGTAGTGTAGGCTGGGCGCTGGGCACCAGACAGAGTAGGAGCGACATTGGATACGGTGTTGGTGTGGCCTGAGGGCTTGGACATTGGCTCGTGAGTCCATTGTATTGCTTTTATCTGGATGGAATCTTGGTGCATTTAGACTCTCTGCTCGTACATGACTACTTGGGCATCTGCGTGATTTCGCAACTTGGTTTTCTGTATATCACTCTTGCTCATATTCCTTGCAAAAGCATTATTGTCTCCAAAAATCGTTTATGGGATCATGCCCGATGTAAATGTAGTCTCCCAATGTCTCGAACTCAGAGAAGTGGAGAGGAGACTGAGAGGAGGAGGAGGAGAGTTTCCACAAGAATCAATGAAGCAGAAGTCCCTGCTCAAGCCCACTTCCTCCTCGGGCATCTCCCTCACTCGCCATGTCAGCAATACAGTTTTCTCCTGACGATCTCTGACATATACAATGAACAGGTCACAGCAGGGCGCCCATTATCCTTCCACGTCAGCACCAATCAAGGAGGATGGCGCAGATCTTGCTCTTGGAGGCGACAGCAAAGCACACGCGACGTCACAGGTAAGTCCATGTAAGCTTCTCCTCATCACTCGCACCAATCTCAAAGTCCAGATCGTTTTCCTCCTCGCCTACACTCCTATCAATGTCGAAATCAATGTGGCTATGGCCACGACAACATAATCACCCTCAAGGCTGGCGCCCACACTTAGAATCTGGCACCGGCATAAAGATCCAGCAGCCTTGTGTCGTCGCACCAGCATCAAGCCAGCACCAGGGAGAATGCACAAGACTGAATGATCTCCACGCAGGGGCTGGGTCAACTTATAATGTTGACTCACGTTGACCAGCCTCTGGTCTCCTGGGGTCGACAGCCCAGATCAATCGGAAGCCAATGACCTGGATGCTGTAGAGTTGCAGATTTCCCACGTGTCCCACTTGGACCGGATGCTTCTGGATACCTACAGACAACCAAAGATGGGCATCTGATGACCAGCAGGTTGACTTCGACCTTTAGGCCTGGATTCCCGTGCTGGGGTTGATCGTTGACTTTCTCAAAGTCAATTGTTCCTCGTAGGGCTTCTGAATGCTGCTTTTGGCCCTCCCCTGGGTACCCCTTGGCCTTAGCCCTTTGCCCAGGCTCTGCTTAGACTTAGGGCGTGACTTTTGACCCCTGTGTTGGGCCATTGACCAAAAGTGACGACATAGAGCCCACAGCTTATGCAGATTTGAGCCGAGTTATTGCAGTTTGTTCAGGCTTTGAATTTGTTGTTGCAGATTAGTCTTCAGCCCCTCTGTTATGAACTTGGTTGTCTGACGATTTTTACCGCCACTCACACGCAGACAATCTCGTACACGCCCATACATGCATAAGAGAAGGGGGAGAGGAGACAGAGTCCACACTGCACACAGATCAGAGTAGGCAGCGGAATACAGCTATGCACAGATGGGGAGAAGACACACAGTGTTTCTCTCTCTCTGACACACTCCCAACAACCAATCACAAAAGAACCGGCGAGGATAACAATTGAAATTACACTGATGATGAGACAACTCAAACAATTATCGTAACAGAGTTTGTTCCAGTATCTCGCCACTCTCAGAACTCACACCCCACTCTCTATCCTACACCCAGTTAGTAGCGCCACATCAGAATGACCTCCCAGAGGCCAGCGCCAACCACCCTGATGAAGAACAGGTCCTGCGATGAAGTCTTCAGTGCCGATGGACAACTCTGACGAAGGAACAGGCAG